CGGCATCCCCAGACCAACCCCCAGCGGGAGGAGCGGCGTGGAGCTGGTCTAGAGCCGCCAGCACGCCCCGGGCTGCCCACCTACCGCTCCTCGCGACCCACGGCAAACGAGAGGGGCCTTTCCAGAGCACACAACAAGGTCCCGACGGGGACCCAGGTATCGGCAAGACACACCGGAACGCTCTGAATTACTCCACACTGACCTGCAGGGCTTCCACCCTCAGGAGCGCTGCCCACCCAGACCGCAGCCGCAAGCGCCCCGTGCCCCCGAGCCCCTCTCCTCACCAAACATTCCCACCTCAGCATGCTCGGGCACGGGGGAAAGCAGCCGCCTTAGCGCCAGCACTTTCATGCCCTGCCGAGATTTTAGCAAGTTCCCTGCCGTCATTTTCCAAACCATCGTCCTCTAGAAGCAGGAGGGATGGGAAGATGCAACGGGGCAACTGAAGCCCTGGCACACGCGTATGCCAAACCCCAGAGGTGGCTCTGCAGCGTATTTTATTTAAGGGCAGCGATTCATAATCCCTGATCTTGTCTCCCTTTTTGGCGAGAGCTGCTTTTCATACAGAGGCAGCACCGGAGCTCCTCGGCTGGCCTCAGTCAGCCAGGGCTAAGCCCGCAGCGAGATGCTCCCGGCCATCAGGTGCTGGCACCCGATTCCTGAGGGAAATCAGGGGAAAAAACAAACAAACAAAAGTATTTTTTCTTTAAAAAAAAAATGACCGCCGCGCACTCACTTCTCTCTGTTGAAGATGACAAAGTCCTGCTGGATGGCTTCAAGGCATTCTTGGAGATAGTCGTTCTCCTGTTGAAGAGAAACAACAGAGGCATAGGCAGTGCCACGCGCGTGGCGTGCTGCCTGCGGTGCCACCAGCTGTGTGCCCAGAGCCTCCCAGCCACCAGGAACTCCGACCGGAACGGGTGACGGACACGGCACACCGACTGCCCTCACGCCTCGGCCGCGGCGAGCGCCGTTTTCCATAGAACACAGAGAGCACGCAGCTTTCCAGATACACAGCAGCCGTTTATCCGTGTATCCCGGTTTGGGGAGCGCGATCCGCCCGCAGGAAGGAGAGGCAGCGCAGGGGAGGGAGCAGCGCAAAGCCTGTGCCCGACTCCTTGCCAGAGCAAGGCACAAACCCACTGCCTTGTCCCCCAGGGGCTGCTCGCCCGTGG